ATACTCTTTATGCACTCATTTCAGACCTAAATCCTATTTGAAGACTTGAGAAAACAGTCATTTTAATCAATGATTCCATAACTAAAATAAAAGTAAGAAGATTTAACTTAAGGCCTTCAAACAATAAATTAAAAATGCGAACTAAGTGAATCAGGATCTGTAATAAATTAAAAATTTGGGGTAATTACTCACAAACGCACAAATTTATGCACAAAATGATGCAAGAAATCATTCTAGAGAGAGAGCGTGAGAAGGAGGGGAACACCATCAACAACCCTCCTCTCTCTCTCTCTCTCTAAATATTTTTTTCTCTTTTTCCCACGTTATGAAGACACGAATTGATCAAAACCCATAAATGCTTGTGCTTTATTCGTGTGAATAAGTAATTTTCAGAGCACAACCAAGAAATCAAGCCCAGAAAAAGAAGAAAGTCAAATTATGAAACTATAAGTATGTGTGTGTAATCTTTTATATGGACAAAAAGGTAACAGGCAAATCGGCGACGGCACATATTTTGTGGCGGGTGTTGAAACGTGGAGGAAAATGGCGAATTTTAGGAGATCGATATTTGTATGTGTTTATGTATTTCTGCGACATTTTTAACGTTAGAATCTCAGCTGTCAGCCAATAAAATCCAATGCTTTTGGACAAGAAATCAACAGAAATATTGAAAATGTAAACAAAAACCCAGTAATCAATTTATAACAAAAGTCAATAGATTATAAGCTCGAATGCATCAAACAGAAGGGGTAAAAAAAAGGAGATCTGCAATGAAGGGGTAATTACCTCAGCTGCGAGGTATTCAAGGACGGCAGCCATGTAAACCGGAGCTCCGGTACCGACCCGTTGAGCATACCGACCCTTCTTCAAGTACCGTCCAATTCTTCCAACCAAAAATTGCAAACCAACTCTGACTAACCGGGTCACCGGCTTCTTATTTGGGCCTCCGCCCTTTCTCACTCCGGCACCCTTCTTGATTTTTCCCGATTCCATGAAACAACGATTCTAACCCTGGAGGCGAAGCAATTATGTTTAAATATGCGTTGGTAAGACTGGTAATTGATTCGGCCTGCAACCATTGAAATCGGGTTGTGATTTTATAGTGAAGGAATCTAGTTCTGGAAGTGGGACGGTAGTAACTGCTGGATTTAGATGTACAAAATAGGTGAGGATCTTTTTGGAACCTCCACGTGCAGAGGCTTTCACCAGCCTCCGGAGGGTGAAAGCCTCCGCGTGCGGAGTTTTTGCCTCCGCATCTGCCTCCTTTTTTTTTCACCAAATTTCTCCATATCTCTTCACCTCAATTCCTCCACTCATGTCTCCAGCTGTGAAAAGATGTCAACCTCGAGAGGAAAAAAAGCAAACACGGTACGCGATGGGCCAAATGTGGACGAACACAAAATTAAAATATAAAAACATGGTACAAAATGGAGAAGAATTCATCGATTTCAATAAAAGGCGCAGATCGGAGATGGAAAGGAGAGCGTCGTCGCCGTTTGAGAGTTGAGGTGAGAAATGCAGCGTGATTCAAACTCCGTTTCAAAAGCGGCACCACTGCAAATATGGGCTCTTGCCGACCGGAGATGGCCAGGCTCGCGCCATCTGATGCTTGGGTC